ATGGTATAAATTAATGGTTGTAGACATTTGGGAGCCTCTAACCTTGTCCTCTACTGGGCTTGTAGAGGAATTCTCTTGAGGCTACAGGGAGGTGATAATTCAAACTGGCACCTAAAATGACTCAAAAATACCTGAGCTACCACTTGGGTGATGGATAATTATTAGTATCAATAGGAAGAGCTAGATGGTAAATACTCTATGGAGTGGCTGCACACATTAAATATGTATCATTACATAAAAGGAAAAAATCTGTCCAAACCTTCCTCTGCCTATGTGAAAAAGCAATTGCCCTCTAAACCTAATAACTGGTTGTGCCACCCTTGGCAACAACAAATGCAATCAAGTGTTTGCGATGGTTGGCAATGAGTCTTTCACATCACTGTGGAAGATTTTATGGCCAACTCTTCATTGCATGAATGGCCTGTTTAAGGTCATGCCACAGCATCTCAATTGAATTTAAGTCCAGACCTTGACTAGGCAACTCCAAAACCTTAATTTTGTTTTTTAGCCATTCAGAGGCGGACTTGCTGGTGTGTTTCAGATCATTGTCCTGCTGCATAACCCAAGTGCGCTTGAGCTTGAAATCAGGAACTGATAGCCGGACATTCTCCTTCAGGATTTTACGGTACAGCGCAGAATGAATGGTTTCATCAATTATGGCAAGTCATCCAGGTCCTGAAGCTGTAAAGCAGCCCCAGTTCATCACACTACCAGCACCATGTGTAACTGTTGGAATGATGTTCTTTTCATGAAATGCTATGTTAATTTTACACCAGATGCACGAACACCTTATAAAAAGTTCAACTTTTTTCACATAAACTTACATCTCCCTGCATACTGAAAGTTTCATGTATACAAACTTCACATTTAGATATGAGCTATAATCTTATAATAAATTTTAAAAATATTTCCATTATATTATTTTGAATAGACAACCTGGCATTATTCATTGCATTCAAATATTATTGGAAAAAACATTGATCAACCTTCAAATTTTTACTGGGATTTTTTGCGTTATGTCTAAGTATTATGAATGCTGGTGCCTTAATTTTATAATTTTTAAAAACATATTACAGTTGTTACATTCAAAAGTATTCAAGCATCTATTACATAATGAAACTAATTTCCCATTGTGCATCTCCTTAAACTCTGTTAATAGCAGCCAAGTAATGGAAATAATTAGAACACACTGATTGTACTATCTATTATAGCTCTGGAAAATAATGCTTTTGCAATGTTTTGCACACAATTAATTTACCACCAAATAGTCCCGCTTCCATCAAAATTATAGCAAGATGAAAAAAGACATTTCATTGACATTTCATTTGCTACAATTAGGGTATTTTAAGGAAATGCAGCAGCTTCTTTGTGTTCCAAACTTTCATCTGTATAACTTTGATGCACAATTGCTATAGAGGGTCCAGTTATAAAACAAGGGCATGACCTTGCAGACACCTTATTGCTGCTTAAATAAAGCACTTTTCTTTAACAACTTTTTCTCTTTATAAAATAAGACTACCAGATTTTCAAAATGAAATCCAGGGACACCCTACTGACCATGTCCACTTTTAAACCACATTTACGTACTTTTAAACCACATTTACGTATTTGTAAACCACACCCCTATTTGTAGCCACACACAAAAATCCATGCCTCTATTTTAAAACACCCTCGACAATTTATCACAGACTTTAGGTAGAAGAGGCAGGCATTCAAGGTATAAAGAAAAAATGTCCCAGACATCATGCATATAGGAATGCTGAAGTGTGTGTAGCTGCAGTGAATTTTGAATGTGGACAACTTGTAGTAACAATGGGAGGGGCTTAAAAAGGTATGGTGAAATAAAACCTGAGCCTATACTGTTATCAAGAGTATTAATGGTCAGATTTCAGAGGCGAGGGATATATATCCCTCAGATTGCAGAGGTCAGAAACAAGCAACGTGCAGAGTGCAAGGGTCAAGTGTATGTACGTTGCATTATAGATAGAAGCAGTATTTCTTCTGCTACTTTATATGGCAGTTTTCCACTGTTACTGGCTCCTAAGGAAGTGTACTTGAACCACTGATGTCATAGGGAATTCCTGCTCCTTTTCTGTAAAGGAGCAGGGATAGCAGTGACATTACTGCCTAAATATGGCCATGGCCATACTTGGTCAGTGATGTCACCACTATCCCAAAACCTTCCCTGATAAAGCTGATGACAGGTTGGGGAGGTGCCATTCGACTAGTGTCCCCGTCAGGATCAGTCAGGACCAGGTAGTCAGTTTCTATATGACGGGTGGTGGGCATTGTGATTAATGATGGATTTACAATGAGGGATTTTTTTTTCATTTTATAATAAAAAGCACTTGTTAAAGGTTTGGGTGTCTTTAAGTGACAACTTTTTTTTGTGAATGAGTAGGGGTACTTGTTCCCCCCTTTCCTTAAGTCCCGCTTAACATTTATATCATATTCAGAGTCTGGTATCCATTTTGGGGGGGGATCTATGCATTTTTTTCATTCTTGCTGTAGGATTTGCTGCAGAGAAAATTTACTGTACAAAGAAAAAAATACAAAACAGTTTAAATTGCCAGCAAATGACATGCATTGCCAACTTCTATCTTTAAAAAAAGCACTCTCCAAAGGTTCCCTAAACTATGTAGCAGACTTTTATTTTAAAACAAAGAAGCCAGCAATGACAGCTGTCAAAAGCATTTGCTGGCAATTTTAAACTTTTTCTCTATTGTAGATGTCAGTGCTAAAAAAAAATCACTGCTCCCAACTTCATGGATTTTTACTTTTTATTTTTGTTTTGGATTGGTACAGTTCCACAAGGTATTGCCCACTACCAATGCTATTTTTTTATACCTCCTAGCCTATTAGCCCAAACGATGGGCTTTTTTAATTGTCATATTCAGCATTCAACAGATTTGGTTTGGGTTCAGCACCTAAACTTCTTTAAAGTTCACAGAATATCTGCCGAACCAAACCCAGGCAAGTTTGGCTCATGACTAGTTAGGAGTAAGTAATGCAAAGAGTGCAGTAGTCAGAGGTAAGAAACACATGAAGTGCAGAGGACAGGAGGAAGTACTTCACAGAACACTGAGGTCAAAAATAATTAATGCATAGAGAGGTTAGGCATAAAAATGCACAGATTGTGGAGGTCAGACATAAGTAATGCATGGAGATCAGAACACAGGAGTATGTACACATGGAGAGCAGAGGTCAGGAGCAAGTAACACACAGGGTGCAGTGGTTAGGAGAAAGTAATGCACAGATTGCAGTAGGTAGACATAAATAATGCACAGAGTGCAGAGGTCAAGAGTAAGTAACTCACAGAGTGTAGGGGTTAGGAGTGTATAACACACTGAGAGCAGGGGTTATGAGTGTAAAATGTACACAGTGCAAGGGTCAGGTGTAAGCATTGCACAGTACAGAGGGCAGGAGTAGGTGACTCATGGAGTACACACTGATTGCACATGTCTAATATGCCTAATGCACAGACTGCTGCAGTAAAACTTAAGTAATACACAGAGACTAGAGGCCAGGGTAAGTAATGTAAAAAGAGTTCAGATGTAAGTCATGCATGGAGAGTAGAGCTCAGAAGAAAGTAATGTATAGAGAGCAGAGGACAGGAGTAATTAATGCATGGAGATCAGAGGTCAGGATTATTTTACACATGGAGAGGTCAGATGTAAGTAGCACATGGGGACTATAGGTCAAGAGTAGGCAATACACAAAGAGCAGAAGACAGCAGTAAGTATTTTACAAAAACAGAAGTCAGGCATAAAAAGTATAGTAAGAGCAGAAGTCAGGAATAAGTAATGCATTAAGACCAGAGGTCAGAAGAAATTAATTCACAGATTAGAGAGGTCAGTAGGGTTGAAATAACTGCTCATTTTGCCTTTTTATTAAACCAGCTCTTGAAAGTGACCCATCCACCCTCACACACACACCAAATACGTGACTTGCCATTCCATCATAAAGCAAAACACAATCTCAAAAGCTGATAAAAGAAGCAACACGTTTCTAATTCCTGGGATTTGCTCTAGACCTTCAGAAACAAATCCACCTGGGTATTACCAGACTATATGTTCTCAGTGTTCAGTGGACTCTGTCATGGAGCAAAATACACCTCAAAAGTTTTTACCAGAAACTGATTTCTGGGTTTTTCTTTATTTTTCTGGGACAGTGAAGTAATTCATGGTGAAGGAGAATAAGTCCCATTGGAAATTATCTGGGCTCACAGTTAAAGTTTAGAATATTTTAAACTTCCGAAGCAAGCTTTTTTCTAGTATCTATTTTTCTAATGCTATGAAAATCTGTATAGTTTAAGGTTGCCTTAGTGTCTCAGGCAACAAATTTCAAATGCAGATTATTTAGTGAAAAAATTATGATTATACTGTGATTGTAGACAGATAGGGGTTTATTTACTAAAGCTAGAGAGTGCAAAAATCAGGCTGACTTCTGCATAGGAACCAATCAGCTTCCAGGTTTTATTGTCAAAGCTTAACTGAACAAGCTGAAGTTAGAAGCTGATTGGTTTCTAGGTAGAAGTGAGCCTGATTTTGCACTCTCCAGCTTTAGTAAATAAACCCCATATAGTCTATAACAAGAAACAGGAAACAGACGTCATGTCCTACCCATATCCAGTATTATAAAGCAACACACAGAACCTAACTATTGTGATGTTTTATTGACAACGAATATTTTTCAGCCATTATTTGCTCAGTAGGGAAGGATTTATATATATATATATATATATATATATATATATATATATATATATATATATATATATGCCAAGGCTTTAAGCAGCAGAATAACCAAATTAGAATGTCTTATTTGATCATCAGATATATTTAGTTTTTACAAATGAAGCCTATGATTAACTTTCCATTCATATCCTGACAAACAGCTAAAAGTAGAGAAATGTACTCTGAGAACTTATAGTATTTTTCTGTACAACGTGGCTTAAGCCCTGGTAACCCACTGAAATAAGCAATATGATAAAGACCTACCATCAATCCACTCATGAGAAACAGGATCAAAGCTGCCATATAACTGTCCTATTGTGATAGCTTTTGGATTAATAAATATATAGTCCACTCCATGTTCATCCATTAGTCCTTTTGTTTCCAGGTCTTTCAGAGCTCCTGCAAGGACCTTAAGTGCAGCTGTTTTTCCCCCAAGTGGACTTCCAATCAAACATAAATCCATGTCGCACCAGCATCATTTCATATATCTGCAAAAGTCAATATTGTGTTAATTCCTCTTTAACACCCTGTTCATATAACCAATTTTAACATTTACAGTATTTCCAATTTCAATGCAAATACAAGGAGTGCAAGCAATCTCAAGATAAACCTCATTGCAACTGTTATGGATTTTTCTTGTTAAGATACTGAAAAAAATGAATTCTTCATATGCAGGAACAGTTACACAAGAACTCCAACCATTGTGTTTAGAATATCTGTTCTACCAAAATGTATTATTATATTCTATTTTATACAAAAGATAAGAAAAGGGGTGAGAGGTCATTAAAAAAATAGCAAATAGAATAATGTCACATTTCATATGTCACCAGGGTGGGGCAAATGGAAAGAAACATTTTTAGGAAAAGTTTAGTTTGTGTACAAGAAGAACATTGCAAGCCTATTGGGGTCTCTTGTGCTTAAATGAACAACACACTGAAATTATTTGTCATAACAAAAATCAAGTTTTTGCATTTCTCTAGTTTATGGTCTCATGTCCATGAATGTTTCAGGCATAAAATATGCCCACTGTAAAAAAACACAGCATTTTTCTGTGCCCCGGGTAATACAGTCAGCTTTAGAAGTGTATGGCTGTACGCCCCCGTAATCATGTAAACTTTGAGGCTTTTATGCATCGGAATTTACTCATGTATGTGTAAATTGATGACTGCATTGTGATCTGGGGTATACGTCTGAAAAATTATTATATATTTATAGTTGGGAGAGATATACTGCTGAATGAGGATATTATATTGCATAGCATATGCTTGTTTAATGTTTCTGATTGTTGCCACACTCATTATTTCCATAGCACACAACAACTCCTAGGTTCCATACAATGCCCCTGTTACAAGGTCATTTTCTATAATACCTGTACCTAAATTGCCAGGGCACTGGGGATAGTTTATGGCTATAAAGTCCCTGTGCTACAGTATGTGTTATATTGTAACATGGCACCTAAGCAAATAATTATTTGGTAATACTATACATAATCAAATTGGTATGATATATGGGAACATGGCTCCTCAATAAATTAATATATGGCAACTCAACACCTGTTTAAGAAGGCACATCTATGACATGGCCACTATAATAACATTACACTTCAGGTAATGTTGCTCCTCTGGTAACATTGCACTGATTCTAGCTTTGATAGTAATTGTTCATTCTAATTGCTTGTGCATTTAGATTGCATAACAGCAGTTATTTTTAAATTGTGGTAAATGGATGAGACCTATTCTTACAGGCTGTGAGCAGTAAATCTGACCCGAATTGTTAGAAATTAGCTCAGTTTAAATATCTTTAGACTATGGTTAGAGTACTTATACTGTGTCTTTGACAAGAACAATCATCTAAGAAAATATTTTTTTTGCCATATTTGCACTTTGAAGAACATACATCATGCTAATGCTGCTAATCTGAAGCACATGTGATAAGAAAGATATTAAGATTTCTTGACAGCTGCTGTTCTAATCAAACACTAGTTTAGCCTTACCCTCTATACTCTAGCCAAATGACTGTGGTGTTGGTGGAGAGGGCATTGTAACTGGCTGTGAAATGAAATCATTTGCATGGCTTGCTTTGAAAAATATGAAAAAATGTTATTTCTCTCCTTGCTTCTTTTGGGAAAAAAAAAAAACAGCACAAAAACCCAAAAGATCCCCCAAAATACATAGCAGACCCCTACGATGTGTTATGCATTGTGAGGGAACATTGGAGGAGCCCTGAAAGAAGCTGGCATTGAAGTTTTATTTGCTGGCAATTTAAACTGTGTAATTTTTTTCTTTGCAAATGTCATTTTTACTGCAGCACATCCTACAGCAAGGATGAAAGAAAATGTGTAACAATAGTACACATTTTTTTCCTACCTTAATACACTGACAGGAAATATAAACCACACTGACCTTAACACTGCCACTAACCTGCCACTAGCACTGGCAATAGCTGGCATACTAACAGTGACACCAACTGACACTTACAACTGCCAATAACTGACACAGACTCTAACTCACTCTAACAATACTGACCAACGGACATTAACTGATACTTATATTGCCAGTAACTGACACTGACACCAACGGTTATACTAACTGACATTTACACTGACACTAACACTCCCAATGGTACTCAAGGTTGCCAAAAGACAGCTCCCAAATGTCCAAACAGCCAAAGTTCAGTCTGAACCTACGTATAAGTGATACAGAGTTTTGGGATGAAATGTATCATTTCTGTGTTTACAGATGACTTTACTGTGTAGTGGAAAAATCATCCTTGTGGGATGTCTCCAACTTACAAGCAGATATTAATGCATTGTTTAATTGGGCAATTATGTGGCAAATGGTGTCTATTGCTGATAATTGTAGAGTTATACACTTGCATGCTATAAATATGTGTGCATCATACATTCTATGAGGAGTACAACAGGGAGTTTCTAAAGCTAGCAAATACTTTCTTGTATTAAAAGAGGTATAGCCTCCAGAGAGAGAGAGATCATTTTTCCCCTGTGGAAAGCATTAGTATAGACCTCATCTGGAATATGCAGTTCAGTTTTGGACACCCATTTACAAAAAGGATATCAGAACTGAAGAAAGTGCAGAGAAGAGCAACCAAACTGATAAAAGACATATAGTGGTCCATATAGTGAATCTATTGCAGATTTACTCACTTTAAGGTGATAAAAAAGTTAAGGGTGCACTCTTTACGTCTGGAGGTAAAGAGATTCAGTGTTGGTTCACATATATGCAGATTGTGTGTTTGTGTTTGAATCTCATCCAATCTGCATGACACATGAAACAACATTACTTCCTATGGTGCCTGTTTACATATCTCTGGAAAACTGGCAGTGTGGATTCGGTGTGGTTTGAAAAAGAGTCCTGTCCGATTTCTGAGCAGTGCAGTCAGGTTCAGGTGTGGATTCCAGGCAATTGACTTCTATGGAAACCGTTTCAAAACCATACATGTCATCAGTTGTGAACAGGATTGCATTTCAGGATCAGAATTGCAATTCAGGACAGTTTGCTCTCCTCCCCCTCCTCTCCACCTCAGCAAAACAAAAAGGCCTTGCAAAGCCACATCCAAACTGGCCCTGGACCTGTGAACAGTACGATTAGGAGCTGTGTCACAAAAAACGGTCTGGAACCGGCCCTGAACTACTGAACAAGTAGACTGGAAAATGAGAGCTCTAACATATGAGCATGGGCATGCGGCTGACATTCATTCAAAATAAAAATAATTAAATAAATACATTTTCCTTCAGTAATATACAGTGGGGATCGAAAGTTTGGGCACCCCAGCTAAAATTTGTATTAATGTGCATAAAGACGCCAAGGAAAGATGGAAAAATCTCCAAACTTTTGCAGACGCCATTTTTTTGTTTTCTGTTATTTTGAAAGTGTAAATGATGGAAATAAAATCTAACTTTTGTTGACATATTATAAAAATGTCTGATCTGTAATTTGATGCCTTTTGGAGATTTTTCCATCTTTCCTTGGCTTCTTTATGCACATTAATACAAATTTTTAGCTGGGGTGCCCAAACTTTCGATCCACACTGTACATGAATTAGGTTAGGGCCCTTTAAGAAATCCAAATAGGAAAGGAGCTGGAAAGGGAGTAGTCATGTGACCATTGGAAAAGGCGGGAAAGCCATGTGACCCTCTGGAATATTCTGGAATAGAGGGGCTTATTATTTAAAAGCACTTCGTGACAGAATTCTTTGCAGCTGGTCAGTGTCAGCCAATGGGCTCCCCACCCTCCCTTTCTTGTCACAAGGCACTATTTATGTGGTTTGTGTCATCCTTTCTATAGAAAGGGGGGACTTATTGATATTTTTATTTCAGTATAGATCGAGTCCTTAAAGACTGAGCAGTTTTATTTATGGTTGATAATAAAGTGTAATATGTTTTAATAAATTACATTTTCAAGTTTAATTTTTGTTATGTGTATTTACCAATAAAAGTGCTGCAAAAATGCCAAAAAGTAGTGATGAGTGTGTAGTCATTTGAGCATAATTTTATTAGGTATGCTATTTGGGGAGGAGGGATAAGGTGCGGTCTGCATTCCCATGCAATCAGCACTGAAAACGGACCTTGAAATCCAGAACGCACATGTATGAAACAGGAACTTGTCCTCTACATACGAAAAAGCTTCTTCACAGTAAGAGCTGTAAAAATATGGAATAGACACCCTTGAGTACTAGATCTGGCCAGCTCAGTAGACTGTTTTAAAAAAGAGCTGGATGCATTCCTAAATATACAGAATAGAAACATTTATAGATATTAACACCAGAGTTTGTTGATCCAGGGAATAAATGATTGCCAGGGATAAGGAAAGAATTTATTTTTTCCCATTCTGGAGCAAATAGTACCATGTTTTAGAGGTTTTTTGTATTCCTCTGGCTCAACCGTGGGTATAGGGTTCTGTCTATGGGGGTTTTATATTTATGCATTCTGTTTATTGTTTTCTCATGTTTGAATTAGACTTGAATTCTTTTTCATCCTATTTGACTATATAACTAGTAGTGTGTGGATGTTTATTTTATAAAATTGCTTTCTTTTAAAACTTTACTTCCTTCTGTATTATTTTAAGATATGTAAACAGAAATAACTGTTGCAATACTTCATAAACTGGACCACCTATTGTCAGCTTGCGTGTGTGGTGTTAAGAAATATGTACATTTCAGGAGATTATTTTTCATTATTCACTATGTAAAAAAGAAGAACCTTTTATGTCTAAAGGCATCTGGAGAGCAACTATGGTTACAAAGCAGAGTAATAGCCTTGCTCCACATGTGGTCTATATTTACAGATTTCTCAGGGGAGATTCAACAGAGAAATGCTGCTGCTACATCTGTTTAACACATATATAATATATGACTTTAATGGATTGTATGCATTATCACCTTATGATTATATATACCAATAAAACCGATGGATATGTTTTATTTATTTAACGTGTTTCTAAACCCAGGACCCTACATTCCCTCTATCTGATCTCCCATAGTACACAGAACATTGAAAAGCAATTATTTTAGTAAATGTAAATTGCTAAATACCTTTTCTCATCAGCAGTTAGAGCAGACGTGTAACTTCTATCTGTGTTCAGCAGAGCACATGTTAAAGCGTGTAGGAGGAGTTTGTTTTCTGCTCTAGGAGAATGCAGAACCGCTGACCTCTGTCTGAACAGTGCTGACTGACCCTGTGCTGATCACATGCACACACTCAAGAAAAAAAAACCTCTATAGCAATACACACTACACTGAACATGTGCACATGATATGTCTGATCAGGAAATAAGAAGGGGGCACTGGAAGAAGGGGAGGATCAGAGAAGTCAGGATCAAACAGCATTTTTACACAATGCAGAGGATTAACTGATTTTACTACTGTGGGTTTAGTAACACTTTAAATTCCAAATGACTGCTTATTAACAATTATAAATACAAAAGGTATAATGAAGTTTCCATTGTTTTACTGTTTTGTTTTTGTAGCTGTCCCTTAAATACAAAGTAAAAAGCTGGACTTTGTGGTGTGTTGTGGAGGGATACTGTAATGCATTGCATTAAGGCAGCACATTTATTTAGAATGGGCTAACAGTGCAAAGTAACAGGCCAAGAAAAAAGTCCCTGCAACTATTTTTAATGCAGTGCACTTCATTGCATGACATGTGTGTTAAGGTGCAATGAGGTTATGTTAGCAACTACTGTTGTTGTGCATTGGGGTCTCATTGAATTGCACTAAAAAGCATTGCAAAAATTATTTGTGCTACCAAGTGTTGTGGTACTGCAAATTGAATTTGTTAAAAATATTAATTCAAGGCATATATTTTTCCTTACAATAGGAGAACAGTTGCTATGCACCTGTCATCTTCACAAATTTCTGTTCCCATTCCCTTCATTCTGACTGAAGGTTATAATCCCCATTTACCTGGCTAAGATGTACTAAAGAAGAGTATACGCCATACAAAAGCTATGATTCATAGGGACATGAGGCAATTTAAAAGAGAAGTATGAGAAAAAAAAAAAATTATACTCACATCCAATACTGCATCTGGTCCTTGCAGTCTCTGAGACTGAGAGCCCAGAGATCATATGACCACTGATTGCTCAGTTCTCAGTCTTCAGTGGGCAGAGAGTGCTGACTGTCAGACACCAGCTCTCTGCTCTGTCCCTTCAGCACTCATTGAAGCAATAGGCTGTGGAGGGGTCAGTAGTGGCTGGCTCTGTTTCCCAGCAGAGTACTGACAGGCTCAACCAACTGCAGGTCAAGCATCTGGGTGGATCCCAACATTAAAATCATAATCCCTCCATCCGCTGATAAATTGGCAGGTCATAGGAGTGCCGAACTTAGTGCATTCCTGTGACTCACAAGAGCAGTAGGGCAAAAAGAGCTTTGGTCCTACTCTCCTTTAAGAAATTCAGAAATGTGAACCTCGCTTGGTAGAGTGCATACAGGCACAGAAGCAGGAAAGGCTAGTGGTACATGGCTCCTTCAGACTAATAGGCTTTCCACCCTTTAGTGCTGGGCTGAGCACTCTTTATTGTAAGTGTGATCTGAGTTTTTTTATATTTTTTTTAAGCATTTTCATCCTATGAGACTATCCTTTTTTCTGCTTACACAAATAAAATATACCTCTAGGTAATGACAGAGAACAGATGCTGATTTCTTCTAATAAAATCAAGTACCTTTTGACCAGTGTATTATTTTAAGGGGTCATGAAAATCTGGTGAGTTTGCTTTACAAAGGGGGAGCTTGGTGTTTGAAATCACACTGGAGAAAGAAGCACACAGTAGCTCAAGTAGCAGTGGATACAAGTTTGCAATGCCTAACACAAAGGGGCATTGTTATAATAATATATGCAATGTCACTTTACGGAAATAAGTTTGCCCTTAATTAACTGATGGTATTTATGCATTTGAGGAATGGCACTTTATTAGTTTATGGGATATATATGTATATATCTATATATAAAACCTTTTTTATTAATGGACTGGACCTGTATGGTAATTATGTAGATGAAATAGTCACTTTATAATCATTATATTGGGCATTTATTTATTCATTCACCATTCAACCTCAACAATGAGGACAATGGGAATTATTTCACCTTATTTACCAATCTATCCACTTATTATCAAATTTATTGATTCACTAAAACAGAATGTATGTTTTTTACTAGTTTACTATATCCCTTTCATGGGGAGCTTTTAACATAACGCCTTTCCGTGAATATATCATGGACAGATCTGCAGCAGTAGCATAATATAAGCAAGGTGTGCATATGTTTCATTTGGTAATTGAGGACCCTGACGCAATATGACATTTTGTGAAAAAAAAACTTTTATAGGAGAAGGAGAGAAACATTTGCTGACTTGTATTATCTTCTTGATGAAGCAAGGGACTGGCTGCAGATTCATTTTCCTGGTGATTTCCCTGATGGACACTTCCAGACTGCCATGGTCAGGAGTTGGCACAATAACCCCAGGGAAAAGGTCAGAAATGATGCTATCAAAAAGCGGAATGTCATGGGATAAAAACTGCAAATTGAAAATATTAAGAAAAAAAGAAAGAGATTAGAAAACACTGAGCATTCAATGTACAAAGTAAATATCTATGCCCTCTATGTCACCATGTAAATGTTTTTTTGCAATAACGTCTAAATTGATATATAATATATATATATATATATATATATATATATATATATATATATATATATGTAATGAGAACATTTAAAGCAAGGTTCAGCTAGAGCTGTTAAGGGAATTTATAAAAAAAAAATTTTAACTGTAGATTTTTTTTTAATATCTAAACATTTAAAGGGTAAGTTCGCCTTTAGTAATATGTTACATGTTACACCCATATTTAGGGTGTAACATGTAATATGTTACTAAATCCACTGCCACCACCCCAACCCGATCCCCCATGTGACATCGGGTGGGGGAACCTCTCCCCGTACCTGCAGTCATAAATTAAAAAATAGAGTTCTGTGAATTAATTAACTATAACTACTGGCAGCCATTGTGGCAGATGGCTTGTAGTTCTCAATGAACTATGAGGGAGCTGGTGAGCACCTGGCTCAGTCCCTCAGTTATCTGCCAAGAGCCTGAGCCAGCCCCTCCAGCCTCCTACACAGTCCAGAGCTACAATGAGCACTCAAGTGGCAGAGCAGAGAGCAGTGGAACACTGAGTGATCAGTGGACTTTGATCACTCTGTTTTCAGTTCTAAAGTCAGCAGGGGACTTATATAGGTATTTATGTCTACATTTCACATCTTTAACCACTTCAAGTCTGGAAACTTTTACCCTCTTCCTGTCCAGGCCAATTCTCAGCTTTCAGCGCTGTCACACTTTGAATGACAATTGTGCGGTCATGCAACACTGTACCCATATGAATTTATTAGCATTTTATTTAGACAGATATAACTTTTTTTGGTGGTATTTATTCACTACTGGGATTTTTTTTTCTGCTATGCAAATTAAAAAGTCCAAAAATGTTTTTAAAAAAAGTGTTTTTCTTTCACAATTTTGCAAATAAATAATCTTTCTTCATAAATCTTGGCCAAAATGTATTCAGTTACCTTTTTAGTAAAAAAACAAAAACAAATTAGTTTATAACCAAAAATTATAATTTTTCAAACTATTTTTTACATTTTTATTTTATTTTTTTTATATTATTACTTATGTTTGTACAGTGAGGTGATGAAGATTTTTTTTTTTTTTTACACTGATTGCTTTTACACTCATAAAGGCTGTGAAAGCAATCATTTCTCTTTGTCTCTGGCTGCATTCTTGCAGCCATTGAGAAATACTGTGAGAACCGTGATTGGTCACAGCTTGTCACATGGTGCAAGGATGTTGTGAATAGCCTTGTACCATGTGATCTCTGTGATCATTCACAGATTTTTCACACGTAGTAAGCAATGATGTCAGAAGTGACATCTTACTTACTACTATTCATGTGATCACTGATTGGCCAATCAGTGATCACATGATCGAAACCTCACACAGAGGTCCCATACAGCGATCGGTGTTCCGCTGTGTTGTTGGAGGGAGTGCGCACAGACTAAAATGGCGGGTGCCTTTTATGGATGGCAACCCGCTCCTGCACTGCTCCCATCCGGCTGTTTATATACAGTGTGATTTCCTAAATTTTTTTTTTTAATTCTGTCTCTCAGAGTGGGAATGCACCTACAATGTGAATTCCAGACCCCTCCATGATTTCTAAGTGGGAGAACTTGCAAAATCGCAGGGTGTTCAAATACTTCTGTTCCTCACTGTATATGGGACGGAAGGGAAGTGGTTAATATGGGGATATTTCTTCTTGATAGAATTTTCGCTCTTAAACCACCGCCTTTATCAGAAGATGTTCATTTGATGTGCATTCTGTATGTGGTTAATTATATAATTGATTCCAGTTACGATGTATGTATATATTGATCTAAGTTGCATTTTGCATTTCAGTATGTGTTCTGATCTGAAGAAGGGCTTAACATAATAGCCCGAAGCTGTTTGTTGAACACTATGATGTATGGCTTTGTCCATTTTTTTGGGTCACCCTTTTGTATGGTGATTTTTCAACAATAAAAGTTTTTTATGTGCAGCAATCCAATTTTCTTTTTTCTATATATGGCCCTTGGGAGGGCCTAATTGCTATGCACTGTGATTGATCATCGTTGTGCACTCCATCTATATTACTGATATATATATATATATATATATATATATTTATTCAACCCATACTTCTCTTTTAAAGCTGGCTCTTGCAGCTGTGATATCTTGCTTTACAATATCTACCATCCCTGTTTCTGTGGCTGTCAAGCCACTGGGAGCAAAGATAAGCTTTGGGTTGCTGACGTTATAGTTATACAGGGCTATTAACTCCAATGAAACATCACTGATTGGCCCAGTGTTATCAAACAGAGTAAAACAATGCTTCACCATACCCAGAAGTACTAGAAATTTCCTTTGAATCCCAGTGCTGAATGAAGCATTGTGGAAACAGAGAAAAGGTAACCATATGGGAATTGGACAAATCACGGGTTTTCTTTAAACAGATTCTTTTTCTTTGCCTTTTCAGTGTAAAGTAACAATGTCTGCTGACAGCCTCTTCCCTTCCTAGAAAGGTATATTCACAAATCTCTTGCCACCTCCTGGCTCCCAAATATGAGGGAGCAGGTAACCCCATCATGTGACGATGCTTGAACCTGAGCAGCCAATTGCCATTGGGAAGGCATTGAGAGAATAGGTAATAAAAAACAGTGCAGGCAAAATTACTGTTTCTCTTTAAAACTAAATATGAAATGGTTATCTGCATCCAAAATAAATTCTGGACAAATCAACTAATCTTGAACATTCCAGAAAGGAAGGAGAGGCATTGTTTGGTGAAATGTATGCAGATGAATCCACTACTCTTTTCTGCGGTGACATTTTAAAAGACACGCAGGGTCATAAACATTGCAATTAAGCTATAGCATGCAGTTTATCTTCTCTTCTGCCTTGTAATTGTCAATCGATATGAAATGACACAGGCGAAAAGCAAAACTGCAGAAGCTCATGCTTGCTGTCATGCATTTTCCTTCTCACAAGTACACATTATGGAAGCAGTGGCTGTAGCTAGACCCTACCTTAGGCAGATTAACGTCACGTATTGATCGAAGCATCAGCACATCCTCCTTTTCATCTGGGAATTTAACCTTCAGGTTTCCAGCAGCTGTTAACACGGATTTAACTGCCCTCATTCCATAGTCATAGTGATGCTGGGAAGAGAGCTGAAGACAAATCTGGTTAGTTATCATAGTATTAATGATATGAAACTCTCCTTAGTCCAAAAGGAACCCCCTATGGCATTTAAATAATCTCCTAGTATCTCTCCTACCCTAGAAAAAGCTTATACATGACTATGTCAGAAGTATAATGTATGATCCAGATTATTGATATTATAGTGAAAAAGACTTATAAAATCTTCATCTATTCTAAACTTCAGCACGTCATGAGTTTGGTGGCAAATTCACATTACTATTTTTACAGTGTAAAAGAACACCAACATTCAACATAGACAAACAGTAAAGTCTAATGACATTGCTGTTTAATAAACCTGAAACAGGCTTTAAATACAGGAGAATTATTTTGATATACCTATTTTAAATATTTCTCCATCTATAAATATTTTTTAAATAAATCAATAATTGCTTATGTTTGTTGATTACATAAAATAAATAAGAGAAAGGCATCATCACATCATTTTATTTATGATAAACTAGAAAGGAATTAAAGCTGAAAAAAGATCAGTGCTGAGTATTTGGGTGGTAAGCATTGCATCAATTACACAGTGACAAGAAGCAGAATGAAGGAAGCTATGAATAATGGAATCACAAGGCACAAAGCGGATGGGATGTCAAGTCTTTGTGCAGCAGGTCATGTATTCACCCTAAAGGGTAATGGTTTTCTATCAGACAATAGCCCTATATCCATCTTATCACATTCCTCTGAAAAGTGCCTGGGCACAAAGTGGTAAGATAAAATGTTAGGTTGAAACAATACTAATATGTATAAATGGGGGGTGAGCAAGATGAGAAAACCTCAGGCAGAAAGTAATCTTATCTCAGAATCTGGAACTTGTTTGAGTGAGCATGGGAGCGGGTGGGGGCTTCTTAATAACCAGTCATAAAAGTAAGTAAATGAATAAAGACATTTGTGACATGCTTTAATTGTTTGGGGGATGAATACGTATTAAACTATCAAAACATTGCGAGGATAAAATTAGATTCATTAATCAAAGCAAAGCTGAGAGCTGGCTGTGAAGACATGATGTAAATACATTTTCAAATCTTTTCAGCTCCGTCTACCTGAATGCTGTAATATTTAATACTTTTTGTAATGTTTTTTACAATATTGTGATACATGGGACTAAACAGAAGATCACTGCTTTGAGAGAACATGGGATAAACAATAATGGAAGACAATGTCAGATGTAGGAAAAGGTGTTGAAATGGAGCTAGGGAGTAAACAGAGGTAATGAAAAGTAGAAAAATAAAAACCTAAAAAATGCATTACGTTATAAAAAACAATGTTTTTCAGCATAAATGAGTCAGCACTATGACAAGTAAATTCTGACTGTTAATTTAGATTACTGTGCTCTGCACTTTACTTTTTAATCTACTATGTAAGAGTGGCAAGAGAGTTATATCAGTCAAGACAGAGGCAAAGAAAGGTAGACCTAGAGGTAGGACACTCACAGTTTATTCATGCATGTTTGCTTGAATAAGTCAAGCCAAAATCTTTTTTCTTTTAGTGTTGGATAGTGTGTTTAAGGATTAAAACTCCTGTCAACTTTTTACTGATACCCTGGGCTCTATTAGAGAGTTTTATTGTCATTTTTTTATATTGCTGACAATAACTTCACCAGACAGTGTCATAGAAAAAAAAAAGGATAGGGTGTCTAGCCTTCCACTACTGTTCCAAGAAAAGCATTTTTTTCTTTGGCTTAACAGGATGTGAGGGTAAATATCTACAAAGATGCTAAAAACTAAGAAAAGTTTTGGCTGCACATACACTTTTAAATAAAAAATGTGTCAAAATCAACATACGAAGCCCCAATAATAAAATAGTCAATAGGTATAAACTAACTAATACATATGCTTAATTTTTTTCACTACTGTCCTAGACCCACGTATATCAAAAACACACAAAATTCTTTGAAATCTTGTTTAGAACTTCATTCTGACATTAAAGTAGCATTTCACTCTTGTTTTAAACTTTGACCTACAGGTAAGCCTATAATAAGTCTTATCTGTGGTTACCTTGGAAAGTGCCATTTAATACCTATTGCCTTTGTCTCAGGTCAATGATGTCAGCAGTGCATGCGCAGTACTCTGAATTCACATCACACTAAGTGTGGCATGATTGAAAAGAATGCAGTGCTGCGATTGTAGATTCGCATGCATGGTAGTGATATCATCTTGGCCCAGTCATTCAAGTGGCCAGAGAGTGTGAACCCAGAAGGAAGACCAGGCAAACGTGGAAGTACCAGCAGCAGTGACAGCTCAGCACTAGAGAGCTTAATTTCACGGGTATGTCTGTCATAATGTGCTAATATATCAATGTGCAGTACAGAGGTAAATACCACTTTAGGAAAGAGATGCTTTTAGTTATCCATCTATATATATTTTTGTTGTATATGTTTTGGTATTGACAGGCAATGTTTTTAAAGATCATTTGTAGAAAGCTATAACTATTATTATATCCAATCCAATATATAAATATATATTGCAAATAAAGGCTTTGACTTCACACTTATTCCCACAAGGCAAGCTAAGAACAGCAGACTGATTCCAGAATAATTCCAGGCTCTACAATTCATTATTTGATCGAGGACTAAACAAAATGACTGCTTAATTTGACGCTAAGCATAGTCTTAGTCAAACTTTTAATTGCATAGTGAGGTGTAATAACTGCAAAAAGGAAAATTGACTGTTCCCCCATACATAAGCACACAAAAAGAAAAAATAATTCTATGGTTTGCAAAATATCAAGTCTTGTTCCTTATGTACATTCTCATTTGTAAAGTTAGTGCGTGTGTGTGTATATCTACAGGAGACTAACAAAGGCAATGTTTATTTCTCTGTGGTTTTTAAGTTTGATCACCACAGCTGAAAAATTGTAGAGACCATAAATCAAAGCTCTCCTGTCCATGGGTGGGATAGACAAATTATTATGTTTTCCTACTGCCTTGTGTTCTATTTTGGATATCTTTCTATTTATTATTAAAAAACAAGTGAGACTTACCTGCTCAGAACATAATCTGTATGTAGCCACAATTTTAGTAGCAAGGCTGCGTGCTGCGATGAAACCCATGGAATACAGAGAAATCTCAGCAATTAAAGTATAATCTGGCACCATCATAGCAACAGTCCGAAACAGAACCTATAATATTAGATACTATGTTAACTATAATCTTTATATATTTAGCCACGTGATCATCCATGATTTCTGTGTGCACATTAAACTTTAACATTAATTATTTCTTGCATGACATTAAATATGACTAGTTTTAAATAAGCTCTTTTTATTTCATCATTTTCAAAAAATCAACAAAGACTTTCTAGTGTTCACATTTTAAAGGGATGATAGCTTGGTGGTTTTGTGTTTTTTTTTTATGATTGTCAGTCCCAAGGTTACAATAACAGTCTTTGCATAGGTGCTAGGAAACAGGAATGAAAAGGTTTAGATGTATACATTCGTTCCAGTGGATGGTTTCTAGAGATGTGTCAAAATGAAAATCTATAAAATAAAAAGGGGCTGTGTTTTTTAGCTGGTTTATGAGACTAATAAAATAGTACAAAAATGCTTTAAGTCTATGAAAGAAAAGTGATTAGAAAGTATGCTGTAGAACAATTTGTGCTTTATGATGATAAAAATATTAACCTTTTATCTCATAACTGTAGTTGACACAACTGGGCATACCGTACATGTGAAGTCATTTTGAACAGCATACTCTAGTATCATACACACTGATTTCACAGCTTGCAGTGATGAGCTTGTCATTCAGGGTGACATACCACCCACATGTTGTCGTTCCTTAACTAATGACAATAATCTCTCTACCACAGGCAGGGGGTGGACATGTCTTCTGTAAGATCCTCAATTTGACAGGAAACTTTTTTTTTTTTTTAACTTTCAGATACCAGGAAATATTACACAAAACATAGACATTCCTGTATATAAGTTTACTTGCTGATTTATTTAAGTCACAACAATAAATCTAAGTACGCATTTATTCAAAGGTTTAAATGCATATTAAATTAATTGCAACTCGGTACATTAGAATAACCGCTTGCTGACCCACCACAGTATACAGTATCTCACAGAAGTGGGTACACTCCTCACATTTTTGTAAATATTTTATTCTATCTTTTCATGTGACAACACTGAAGAAATGACACTTTGCTACAATGTAAAGTAATGAGTGTACAGCTTGTATAACAGTGTACATTTGCTGCCCTCTCAAAATAACTCAACACACAGCCATTACTGTCTAAACCACTGGCAACAAAAGTGATTACACCCCTAAGTGACAATGTCCACATTGGGCCCAATTAGCCATTTTCCCTCCCCGGTGTCATGTGACTCCTTAGTGTTACAAGGTCTCAGGTGTGAATGGGGAGCAGGTGTGTTAAATTTGGTGTTATCGCTCTCACTCTCTCATACTGGTCACTGGTAGTTCCATGTGGCTTCTCATGGCAAAGAACTCTCTGAGGATCTGAAAAAAAGAATTGTTGCTCTACGTAAAGATGGCCTAGGCTATAAGAAGATTGCCAAGACCCTGAAACTGAGCTGCAGCATGGTGGTCAAGACCATACAGTGGTTTAACAGGACAGGTTCCACTCAGAACAGGCCTCGCCATGGTCGACCAAAGAAGTTGAGTGCACGTACTCAGCATCATATCCAAAGGTTGTCTTTGGGAAATAGACATATGAGTGCTGCCAGCATTGCTGCAGAGGTTGAAGGGGTGGGGGGTCAGCCTGTCAGTGCTCAGACCATACGCCGCACACTGCATCAAATTGGTCTGCATGGCTCTCGTCCCAGAAGGAAGCCTCTTCTAAGGATGATGCACAAGAAAGCCCACAAACAGTTTGCTGAAGACAAGCAGACTAAGGACATGGATTACTGGAACCATGTCCTGCGGTCTGGTGAGACCAGGATAAACTTATTTGGTTCAGATGGTGTCAAGCGTGTGTGGCGGCAACCAGATGAGGCGTACAAAGACAAGTGTGTTTGACTACAGTCAAGCATGGTGATGGGAGTGTCATGATCTGTGGCTGCATGAGTGCTGCCAGCACTGAGGAGCTACAGTTCATTGAGGGAACCATGAATTCCAACATCTACTGTGACATACTGAAGCAGAACATGATCCCCTGCCTTCGGAGACTGGGCCGCAGGGCAGTATTCCAACATGATAATGACCCCAAACACACCTCCAAGATGACCACTACCTTGCTAAAGAAGCTGAGGGTAAAGGTGATGGACTGGCCAAGCATGTCTCCAGACATAAACCCTATTGAGCATCTGTGGGGCATCCTCAAATGAAAGGTGGTGGAGCGCAAGGTCTCTAACATCCACCAACTCCGTGATGTCATCATGGAGGAGTGGAAGAGGACTCCAATGGCAACCTGTGAAGCTCTGGTGAACTCCATGCCCAAGAGGGTTAAGGCAGTGCTGGAAAGTAATGGTGGCCGCACAAAACATTGACACTTTAGGCGAATTTGGACATTTTCACTTAGGGGTGTACTCACTTTTGTTGCCAGCAGTTTAGACATTAATGTTGAGTTATTTTGAAGGGACAGCAAATTTACACTGTTATACAAGCTGTACACTCACTATTTTACATTGTAGCAAAGTATCATTTCTTCAGTGTTGTCACATGAAAAGATATAATAAAATATTTACAAAAATGTGAGGGGTGTACTCACTTCTGTGAGATACTGTATATACATTGGCGAGAAGGCAGCAACAGGCAGAGCGATGTACTGGTACTATGCTCCCTGTATTTGGTTCATGGGTGCCCCCACCAAACTTTTTTTGGTTTTCACCAGAGTTCAGCCTTAAGGTTATGTTGACACGATAAAACAGCGTAGTGCATTACCAAAGGTTTATTGTATAAGGCAAAACATACAGCCAAATGGATACTTGCAAAAGCAAATGTATACAGGCATTGTATGACAATCTCAATCCAGTGTGGGAATATGGTGTGGCCAAATACACCATAATGCTGTGCTAGCTAGCTGACATGCTTCAGGGGATTCACCCCCTTCTTCAGAGCTCTGAACTCATTGCTTCTTTGTTTATAAAAGATCCCAAGAGATTAAAATGTTTTACAACTTCTGTTCTAATTCCATCAAGCTCAAAATTGTCATCATTGTCTATGTTCATGATCTTTATCTTGTTTATATTCAGTTCTAATCCCATCTTTTGACTTTCGTTTTTGACTTTTCTCAGTAAATACAGCATATTTTCTTTGCTGCTGGCAATGAGTGTGTCATCTGCATAGTGCAGATTGGCCACCAACTTTGACACTGACAGACTCTTCTTCTAAATTTGCATTTCTGAAGATGGCTTCACCATATAGGCTGAATGGGTAAGGTGACAAGATGAATCCCTGCCTGACTTCTCCTGTCATTGGAGACCAGTCAGTGTTGGCGTATTCATTTGTCACTGCAGATTCTTTATTTTTGTAGAGACTCTTGGTCAAATGAGTTTTGTGTTTAGACAACATATACATATATACAACACTTACACCAAGATTCAATTAAATGCATAACCCCCTCACTACATGTACAGTAAACAGATAAATAAAATACAAATCAAATCATTATATAAGCACATATATCATAGTGATAAAAACTACAAATGTATTTACTGACCATTTAAAAATGGTGCAAAATCATATGTGCATAACCTCTCTCAGTAATATAATGTGCTGTTGCTTAATGAAATTCATATAAATCAAAACATCCATAGCAATTTAATGCTCATTAGAAGCAGAAATGTGTAAACAATCCACTCTTAAAAAATGCTGGTGCTTCACACCTTTAAAAGTGCATTCCCAGTGGCTGAGGATAACTCAACAGGTATGTCTGACCTTTCATTACAAGATGGTCAAAAAGAGCTGTGTACTGATGTAGGTAGATAGGCAGGTAGATGCATAGCCTCCTGTTTCCTTTATTATTTCCTTATGTTTCCTTTACATAATGCACAGAGAAAAATGCTCATAGTTCAGAAATGTAGCTTCATTAAAACAGTATGTTAAAAAGCAAAAGAATACTTACAAAGTAAGAGGTTAACCCATCTCAGGATAAATAGCCTGCAGTAAATGTCTCTCAAGTGCTGCAGCACTGCAAAAATTGCCATATCACAAATCTAGTGTATGCAGACCCCTTCGACATGTGTATCAGCCAGGGGCGGACTGACAACTCACAGGGCCCCCGGGCATTAGGGGATCATGGGGCCCCTGTGTCCTCGCCCGCACTCAAACCACACCCACAAAAAGCCTATGAAAGGTACCAGGGACATCTCATGGGGTCCCCTACTGACCCTGGGCCCTCGGGCTCAGCCCGAGTGCCTGAATGGTCAGTCTGCCCCTGGTATCAGCATTATAGTGCCTAGCCCTACCCAGTGCTTTTCATCACACCAGACATCATCAGCACCAGCACTTTATACTACTGAGAGAGGTTATGATTTTGTATTGGTTTAAGGGTCACTGAATGAATTTGTAGTTGATCACTATAATATATACTGTACATTGTTTTATTGATTTGATATGTATTTTATTTATTTACATGTAATGAGGGGGGTAAGCCTTTAAACTTTTGATGTGAATACTGTATTTTTGAGTGTTATATGTTTTAGTTTGAATAGGATATTTATACAGCTGCCAGTATGGGAAGGGGATTATGGATTAGGAAGTGACTGAACTTTGGAGGATGTTTGCAGACAGTTTTTGGTGCACTATACAGTGATATCTTTTTTATTCATAACAAAGCGTACAAAGCGTACAAAATATTAAATCAATGGGGTTGAAGGAAGCTGAAGGAAAATAGTTAACTTTGCAAGAGATGTTTTACTTTGATTAGTGAATCTGGCAAAACTTTACTTTCCAAACAATACTCAATCGCATGCAAAGAAAATAAAACAAAACAGTGTATTTGCTTGCCCAGTATTGGATGACGGAAGTAACACTTCACCTCATTCAATAAGCTATAACGAAAACAAATTCCCTTGCAAAGTGACCTGCCTCTTTGCCTTTACTAAGTCAGTCTCTATATGTAATATTTAAAGATATACATACTCCTAAGCAAACTCAGAGAGCCTATATAAATGAATGGTTTGCTATAAATAAGAGTAAGTACTATATTTATTTTTTAAAATTGTTTCCCACACAAAGAACAGAACACACCACACAAGAAGTAAGAAACATATACCTTTCATGTAGATTTCTAATATCTCATAAAATTATTAATACTCACCAAAAGGTATTATGAAAAGCAAGCAGATTTGTAAGTATCCTGGATGTCTGTTCTAATTAAAATTTAAATTGAAAACTGGGTTCTAATGAAGAGAAGCTTAGTTTTGGGTCTAATGGGAACAGCCTGGAGATGACTCGAAAACTAGTCACAGAAGGACAACCAACTCACAAGGGTATGCATAATAACAGATGTACAGTTGTTCCAATATTTGAACTGACTTAGAATGTTTCCTGGAAAACACTTTAGATTTCCAAAGTCTCTATGAATAAACAGCTGTGTGTAGAAAGGCATTGCTTTGTGTCAAAACCCAAAGCTGTGACTGGACACTACTGTATTTTCTCCAAAGACATTGATGCCTTTATTTAATAACCACTTTGCCTACTGGGCACTTTAACCCCCTTCATGCCCAGGTCAATTTTCAGCTTTCAGCGCTGTGGCACTTTGAATAACAATTGTGCGGTCCTGCAACACTGTACGCATATAAAATTATCATAATTTTTTTTACACAAATAGAGATTTCTTTTGGTGGCACTTTTCTTTTAAATGCCACTGGGGGATTTATTTTTATAAACAAAAAAAGAGCACAATATTTGAAAAAAAAAGGGTTTCTTTGTTTCTATTATAAAATTTTGTACTTCACTGATGTGTGTTGATGAGGCTGCACTGATAGGCAGCACTGATGGGCACTGATGAGGTGGTATGGATTGGCAGCACTGATGGGCACTGATAGGTTGCACTGATTAGGTGGCACTGATGAGGCGGCACTGGTGGGCATTGATGAGGAGGCACTGATATGCTGCAATGATGATCACTGATAGGCGGCACTGATGTGCAGCACTGATTGACAGCACTGCTGGACAGCACTGATGGGTGGCACTGATGGGGGCACTGCTGGGCACAGGTGGGTGGCATTGCTGGGCACTGGTGGGTGGCAATGCTGGGCACTGATGGGCACATGTAGGTGGTATTGCTGGGCACTGGTAGGTGGAACTGCTGGGTGCTGATCATCAGGGCACTGACGGGTGGCGCTGACTGGTGGCACTGACAACACTGACTAGTGGCACTGACTGATGGCATTGACTGGCGGCACTGCTGGGCAACACTGATGGGCCCAACTGCTGGACGGCATTGATGGGTGGCACTGCTGGGGGGCAATGTTGGGCACTGCTGGGTGGCACTGCTGGGCACTGGTGTGTGGCACTGCTAGGTGGCACTGCAGGGCACTGATCATCAGGACACTAATCATCAGTGCCCTGATGATCAGTGCCGATCTGCTCTGTGGCAGCTGCCGGTTATCAGCAGAACTTTCCTCACGCTGTGACAGCGTGAGGAAAGTGCTGCTGATAACCGGCAACTGTATTTACTCCGTGAAGTGCTGTGTCATTGGACACATCTGATCACATGGTAAAAGGCCGCTGTGATTGGCCTTTTATCTCATCACATAATCAACTGTGTCCGTAGGACACAGCGAACATGGAAATCACTGGGTGCACACGCCGCCGGGGGCGCGCGGGAGGAAGTGTTCTGGGAGGACGTCATATGACACCCTCCCAGAACTGGGTAACCATGCTGTACCTGTCATTCAGGTATACCACGGTTAGCAAGTGGTTAAAATTATGGCCTTCCAAATGGTGCATCTGTCAGAAAATGTTATACCTTGCTGACATTATTATTATTATACAGGATTTATATAGCACAGACCGTTTTCACAACACTTTACAATAGAAACGGGGACAGTACAATAACAACGCAGTTCAATATAAAAAGAATAGGAGGACTCTGCTCATGGGGCTTACAATCTAAAGGGAGGGGGAGGTGGTACAAAAGGTAATAGCTGCAGGGTATGATCTGATTAATATGACTTAGGCACAGGGGCGGACTGACAACTCATGGAGCCCCATGCAATAGGGGATCATGGGGCCCCTGTGACCTTGCCCAAACTCAAAAAAGCCTATGAAAAAGGTACCAGGGGCATCTCATGGGGCCCCCTACTGACCCCGGGCCCTCGGGCAGTGCCCGAGTTTCCAAATGGTCAGTCCGCCCCTGGACTTAGGTATATATTTTTAGGTGGAGGTAGGGTAGACTTCCCTGAGTAAATGAGTTTTCAAGGATCACCTAAAGGTGGACAGAGTAGGGGCTGACCAGACATACTGGGGTAGGAAGTTCCAGAGGGTTGGAGAAGTTCTGGAAAAGTCCTGGAGGCAAGCATGGAAGGAGGCATCAAGGGAGCAAGAGAGCAAGATATCCTGGGAGGATCTAAGAGGACAATTTTGTGGATATCTGCAGATGAGTTTGGTGATGTAGCTGGGGGCAGTGTTGTTGATGGCTTTGTTCGTTGTGGTAAGCATTTTGAATTTTATACATTGAGATAATGAAAGCCAGTGAAGGGATTTTCAGAGAAGGGCAGCATTCATGCATTGGCTAGTAAGGTGTATAAGCCTAGCAGCAGCATTCATAATAGACTGAAGAGGGGATAGTCTTTGTAAAGGTAGGCCAGTGAGGAGGGAGTTGCAGTAGTCAAGGTGGGATATAACTAAGGAGTGAATAAGTTGTTTGGGTTGGATGTGGGGCCTGAAGGAAAGGTCTAGGATTATACCTAGCACCCTGGCATGTGCAGAGGGACCAATGGTTGTGCTGTTGAACTCAATGTTAAAGTCACGAGGTGGTGATTGGGGAGGAGGAAATATTAAATGCTCAATTTTAGAAAGATTGAGTTTGAAGAAGTGGTGTGACATCCAAACTGATATTTCACTCAGTAAATTTGTGATACATGAGGAGACCGAGGGGATGAGCTGGTGAGTGGAGAAATAGATCTGGGTGTCGTCAGTGCAGAGGTGGTATTGGAAACCGTAAGATGTTATCAACTGGCCCAGGGAAGAGGTGTAGAGAGAGAATAGGAGGGGCTCAAGGACAGAGCCTTGGGGTACCCCAATAGAAAAAAGAAAAGGAGCCGAAGAGATGATGTTGTATGTGACGCTGAAAGTGCGCTGAAATAGGTAAGAGGAGAAACAGGAAGGAGCAGAGTCACCAAGGAGCAGAAGCCAAGGAAGTGAAGTTTATTGAGGAGGAGCCGGTGGTCAACTGTGTTGAAGACAGCAGAAAGATCTAAGAGTATGAGTATGGAGCAATAGTGATTGGTTTTAGCAGTTAGTAGGTCATTAGTGAGTTTTAGTAGGGCAGTTTGAGTGGAACGTTGTAGACCGAAGTCAGGCTGTAGGGAATCTAGAAGGTTGTTGTCAATGGGGTAGCAACTCATATGGTTGTGGCCAAGGCATTCAAGAAGTTTGGATGCACACAGGAGCAGGGAGATGGGTCTTAAGTTATTCAAACAGGTGGGGCCTACTGAGGGTTTTTTAAGTATGGGGTAACCAGTAACCAGTGCATGTTTGAGCAGGGTGGGGGGAGGTGCAGGTGGAGAGGGAGAGGTTGAAGATATGGGTTAGAGTTTAGGATAGAGCAGGAAGGAGGCCGTAAGAATTGTGAGGGGACAGGGACCAGGGGACGGGTGGTGAGGTGGGCTTCGGAACAGAGTTTGGCAACGTCCTCAGTGGTAACAGGGTCAAAGGAGGAAAGTGTTGAGTGTGGTATGGTCCTAGAATGTTGGTTGGAGGAGAAACCTGGACACTGGAGATATCATCACAAATTGTGTCAATCTTGTTTTTGAAATGGCAATCTCCTGGGCAGTAATTAAATTGGTGGGTGGAGGCAGCAGGGGTTGCAGTAAGGAATTAAGGGTATAATAGAGCTGATGAGGATTGGATGAGAGTGGTGTAGAAGGCTTGTTTAGCAGTGTAGAGAGTTGCAGATTTGTAGAGAGTGAAGTCTTGCAAAGAATTTAGTTTTACACCATGCTCACTCAAGAGCACAGCTGAATCTCTGTTTGCCAAAGTTATAGCACGCATGGCCTGGTTATGAGTGTAGAGAAAAGGAGGAAGTGTGTCCAGGGAGGATGATTCTAAGTTGTTTTAGACAGAAGTGGCAGGACAGCGGTGCAATTTTGTCATAAAGGCAGTCAGTAGAAGAATGCAGAAAGGAAGGGTTGAGGTGGCAAAGGTTTCTACGGGTAGCTGTTTTCTGGTTGGTGGCATGGGAGGTTGAAGACAGGGAGAGTGTGAAACTGATAAAGTTGTGATCAGAGAAAGGAAAAGGGTTAGCTTGAGTAGTTGGGAAGTGGCTGAGGTGTTAATATTGACTGGAATGTTAAAGTCACCAAGGATAATGGCCAGTACTTCAGAGGAGAGAAAATAGAGTAGACATGCAAAGAAGTCATTGAGAAAGTGAGACACTGAGCTGGGAGGCAATTTTCAGACAGCCTGGAGAAAAAATATGAATACAGTGCAATTCAAAAGAGCAGAGGGACAGCGAGGAAGATGTAGGAAGAACCTGGATGGTGCTTTGTGGGGAAAGGAGAAGTCCAACGCCGCCTCTTTTTTGTCCACTGAGTCTGGATGAGTGAGTCCAAAGGAGTGCACCATGAGAGACTTGCCATTACTGAAACCTGGCTCCAGGAATCCAACTCCTCCTCTCCACTTTATATGATAGTTTTCAGTTTATTTATTAATAGGTAACTCTGCTAGTTACATTTCTTTAAATTGTTTGGTGTACACAGCCCCCTTTTTATTTTATTAATCCACCCAGACTGGCATCAGCATTAAGCAACATAACACTACACAAATATTAAATGGGACTTTCTTGACATTCACATTATAATTTTATTGTGAACAATACATTCAAGTCTATTTCATAACATGTACATAAATGGCGGACACTTTGCACAAAAGTCTATCACTATAACAAGTCTCATAATGTATTGTTTGAAGTTGTTGTCATGTGAGTATGAATGAGGGACAATCATATTTAAATGTCTTCCTTAGGGGAAAAAGACTGTTCATTTGCTCAAAAATGACCTTAAAACATGTCAGCTATAAAAATAAAAATGTTGCTCTAAAGCACCATCCCCACGGCAATCGCTCAAAACAGATGTGTTTCAGGAACCTCAAAGTGGTACAAATGATCATTTTAGTCAGAAATTCTGCCAGAAAAGTGACACTTCAATCATTGTAAAATCAGTGAGCCAAAAGACATCCAACAGTTCACAAAACTAGAGGGTCTGGCTCCTGACCTTATCTCTTAGGAATCGAATCTCTTAAATTTGCCTAATCTCTTAAACCTCATACAGATGATGAGAGTACTGGACGAATAATTGTCCATTTTTTGTTTTTTTTTGCATGCTAGTCTCATATTGAAAATGATCAGGTTACTAAAGTTACGGAAATTCTAGTATGACAGAATAAAACTTCGGAAGTGATGTAGTATATTGTATTGTATTGTCATTATTCTTTTAGTTCCAAGCATGAGTTGTTTTGGTCTTCTGGGTTTTTTTTTTGGATAAATACTGTACTGATTAAATGAAATTGTTCATTCTGATATCATACAAGAACATTTTTTGTGTTTGTCCCTTCGCATAATTTTGCATGAACTGTTGTGATTAGCTCTCAAAAACTGTGTACTAACAATCAGATTATCATATGATCACTTCAAAAGCAGTATTTATTACCTGATTTTCTGATTGTGTGTACTAGGCATAAGGAACAACTGAGGTTATACCTTCTTTCTTTCTTTCTGCTCAAACCTTGAGCACAGGGTACTCAAGATTTAGAATTCTTCACTAACACTTTATCTTCAAAAGTACTATACACAAAATACCCTTTTAAAAATGTTATTAATAATATGTATCAGTTTCTGATCCAGTTTACTGGAACTAAATTTCTTAGGGATTAGCATCTGATGCATACTGTATGCAGGACTAACTCACTGAAACACCTCAGACACAGAACTCTTGAGTGCTAGATAGTTCAACAAGAGATGTCAGAAAATATCTTAAAAAGAAACCCTGTAAGCACAGCTAGTAAGAGGAAGCTAAAAGAAATTTTACAAACTTGAAACCAGATACAATATTAAAGAGTCAATCGGGTAACTATATTTAGAAAAAAAAAACACTTTTATTAAAAAAGAAAAATAAGGTAAAATAAGCAGAATTTCCAGCACCTTAGCCTGAAATGATCTTCTCTAAGGTGGTGCATTTTATACACATAACATGTCAATTCTTTACATACTGTATATATGTAAATAATATGTATATCTATAAATTAGGATTATTCAGTTTCTATTGACAACAAAATACAGATTACCTTTAAGTTATCCGGCAGTTCTGCTCTTCCTGCATACCCAGGATTCATAGTAATAAATACTGTGCATGATGAGTCCAAGGATATTTTAGTACCTTCAAACACGAAGGTTTGCACTTGCTCTGATATAGCTCGCTGAATGGTCTGAATTTGCTGGGCAACTACAGAAAGCACCTAAAGGGTGAATAAAGAGATTAGTTAGATTACAATCTTTTCATAACTACTTCTGAAAATGTCAAAGCCCAGTTGAAGTATAACACCTTTTCTTTATAGTTCTGTACCTCCTTAAAATATATTTTGCTTCTTAGAGTTGGAGGTGCTTCCTGCCCTCCAATTCTAATGTACTACACTGAGTTCAACCTCTTCACGCCGGCCGAATGTAAATGTGCGGCCTCCCGGCGTCTAGGCCGCACATTTACATTCTATTAAAAAAGGACATATGTGCCGAGAGCACGCGCCCTGTGCGCTCCCAACACACATGTCCAGTACTCACGAAAAGGTATTGATCTCCTCTTTCGATCGGGACCTTTCCCGATCATGTGACCGTCGTGACGACTCGTCATGGCGGTCACATGACCCTAAAATCCCCTTCTCTAAAAGGGCCGGGAGGCGCCAGCGTGAAGGGGTTAATGAGTATTTTCTGAGATTTACAGGGTCTGACAGAGCATGTTAAATTATTGAGTGTACTGGGTAAAGTGGTCAAACTGAGGAGCATATTGGACTACACAGTCATATGCAGATAATACAATGCCTAACTACTTTAAGGGGAAAGTTTACTAGGCATTGAAAATGGAGGTAGTTAGTACAATCTATATACAAACAATGTGATGTCAGTTGGACTTTAGAGATGATAGTCTGAAAGTGGT